CCCTTCCGACCCTAGAAACTATGAAACTATGAAACAATACAAGGAAGAAGCATGAAAGCAGCTCAGTTTTTATTCATTAAAAGATTTCACTTCAGCAGCTCGGTGGCTTCATTGAAGGCTGTAGTTTGACCATTTATGAAAAAGCTTAAATCAGCATAAATTTAATACAAAGTTTATTGATTAGTGTGTGTATGCTTATCTCATTTACTTTTAATATATCATTCAAACCTATTTTCACATTCTCTTAGAAAAAGAAAAAACCAGTAATTTCTAAAAGCTAACAAAAACAAAGTAGGTCATTATTAAAGATATATTCAGAATTCCTAAAGAAGCAGACCACAGGTACAAGGGAGAATTATTGTCATGTATGATTTATCAAATCTTGCTAAATTAACATAGCCATGAGGCAAAGTAGTATACTAATACCCTTTTAAACATAAATCCCTTATGAAATATAGTGCCTCTTTTATACAATAATACTAATTTAACTTGTCACAACACAGAATTGAATTAATGGAAAAGTCAAAAGGCTCTCATTTGTGTTATTAGATACAAATATTGTATGATAGCATGGCTGTTCCCAATATCCAATGGGTTTTTCCCCATTGTAACCCCCCCCATGTTTAAATGTGCATGTAAGAGAAAATGATTGTAGTTAAATTAATATAGATTCACCAAAAAGATCCAACTATAGACTGACATTTCCACATCAGCCCTTTTGCTATGTTATATACGTTACGTTAATTAGGCAAAACAGACTCTTCTTTAATAAAGTCCAGCTTATTTAAAAAAACCCAAAGAGTACAATTTGGGGTTTTTTCTTTCTTTTTTTTGGCATGCATACATTTACTAATCATTCTTACTACTAAGTGGTGCTACCTCTGACTTTGGCCTCTAAAATTGAAAGCTTCCCTCCTCCCCACCCCAGCCTCCCACACACAGCTTGGCTCTGTCCAGCTGAAAAATGTTATTGCTTATAAAAGATACTGCTGGATTATGTCCTGCTCAGAGCCTAGACTGGCAGACGGTCATGATGACTGGTGGAAGAGTCTTGTGCAGAACGAGAGGGTTCCTGCTGTTGTTTAGCAAAATTAAGAAATACCTGCAAGACACAACATATCAGGGCTTATGCAACAGTGGAAACATTAGCTGAAATGTTTTTATATATCTTTGTGATCTTTTCCTCAGGTCATTGTTAAAGACATTTTCTAAAACAAAAGTTGTGTTTTGATATTGATGGAATCCCTTCAGTTTATCAAGTAAATAAGTTATAGATATTATATGAACATTTTTTTACCGTTAATCATGTTGGAGTTTGCTTATATTTAACGAACACAAACTAAGGAAAAAAATAGATCAGGAGTTTCATCCTACTCCTGTGTAACTCTACAGTGTCAGATGAGAGCCCATATATTTAAAGAAGAAAATTATATGCCCAGGCCCTTGCATGATATACAAACATGTTATCACATGGTAAAAAAAGGTGGGGATTGTAGCACATCAGCTTCCCCACAGTGGCCACTGATACTCATCATTGTATCCAACAGTAAATGTGAGTAATGAACAGTAGCCTATTCCTTGTCAAGGGGTTTCATTTACTGTGGGTCAAGAGCTTACACATGGGTACTTACTGTGGAGAAGCTGAAAAGCATCAAGTCCTTGACCTCATTTACATCTTTGTAACTTGCTCAGGTGCCCATGCCCTGACTCTGAATACAGCAAACTGGTCTGGGGGCTCATCTATGTGATTTTCCAATGGTGGTCTGATTCAGCCGTAACTGAACCCTCTTATTTCATGTTGCCTCCATTTATATGAAATGTATGGGGTTTGGAACCATGCAAATCTTTGAATGGTGGTGATTCTTTGTTCAAATAAGCATATTCACAGTCAAATACGCTCAGCCAGTAACAAGAGTTCGTTACTCAGAAGTACTGTTTTCCTGTTTGAAGCTTTTACACATTCAGTCAATGAGCTGAATAATGCTAGGTGACTGAAGTGATTAATTGTTCACCATCAAGAATGAAGAATAAACAAGCTGGAGCAAATAGTTAATGAATAATCTGCAGCATGAAATTTGTTTGCATAAACTGGTTAATCAATAGTTAAAGTACAAGTAGCTTCATGAATGATTTGCACATTAGGAAAGGCACTAAATTTACACCAAACATCAAAACACAGTTAATATATTGGCCAGTTCTGCTTCTTACTATTTTCATAACACATGAGAAGTTATACATGAACAAGTTCTAGCACCCAGGAATTTCAACACCACTCCTATATTATATTCCTGTCAATCTGTATGTTTCTAAAGTGCCTCCCACTGTGACATGTAGATTGCAAATGCCAACAAACTGCATACCTGATTCAAAGAAAAAAATACCAACCATCTGAGCTAAAGAAAAATCTCCTTTAGTTACAAGGCAATTATGCTTTACTACAGACACTAGACCAGCTCTACATAAGCCTTACACCAGAGGCAAGCAAGATATGGCCTGCCAGGCCATTCTATCTGGCCAATGGGGCCCCTAAAAATTTTAGAAAATTAATATTAATCTTCTCCTGGCTGCCTATCAAAGATCACAGGAGCCAGGGGCAGTGGGACCCAGGAGAAGCTGGCAGTACGCAGCAACAAGTCTGACCTGGCCCTGACCCACCCCCAGCCCCTGCAACCAGAAGCCTCTGCCTGCCACCACTTTCACTACTTCCCTGCATGCCCACCCACCAGCTCCAGCACCACATGGCCCCCAGCTGCATCACTGGACGAGGGGAGCATGGAGCCCATGCCAGTACCCTAGGGCCAGGAGCAGAAGGTGGGGTGTGTGTGTCCTTGCAATGAGGGAGAGGGAGAGAGAAAAAAGAGCAATGAGGGAACAGAAAGTGTATGTGTGCATGTGTAATGAGGGAGACAGAGAGAGAGAGAGAGTACGTGCATGCGGCACAGTGGTGTGAGTATATGTGCGTGTGTGTGTGTGTGTTCATAGGGCGAGTCCTACGCACATACCCCATCATACACATGCACCCACACCCCTCTTGCACTGCCATAAACACAGACCCCCACACCCACACACTCCATCCACCCTCTCCCCCACACATAGCTCCCCACAAACTCCATACCTACCCACATCCCACATATCCACACACATACCCACATGCTCCCTCATTCCACACCTATCCATCCCCACAAAGCCCCCACACACCCACACTCTCCCCCACACCTCACAAACCCACACACCCACAGCTCCCCACAAACCTATACCCAACCCCACACAATATACGAGAGTAAGATTTCATTTTAAGATATTGTGCAATTGCCTCTATGTGCACTAAGCAAATGCATGCAAATCAAGACAAAAATATTTTTTGAAATCAAATTAATGAATGTTGTAGATGTTCATTTTTTAGAATATAATTTGGTATTTTTCTGGTTCTGAGATGACAAAACCCCTTGCTGAAAGGAGTACTTCTGGGGGCAAGGGGAGGACTTCTGGTGGCAAAGGCTGGGGATTTGGGGGCAGGACTTCCAGTCCCAAGATGGTGACCAGGCGGCAGGGCACCTATCAAGGGGTGGGGCTGGTAGCCCTCAACAGCTTGCCAAAATTCTCGAAGGGGCCCTCTGCCTGAAATAATTGCCTGCCTTATACAGTAGTCTTCTATTGTATAAATAATTAAAATAGCACAGCACATTCCAAAACAGAAAGTCAACCCAGTGAAAGAACAATACCTGTTCTAAAGTAGTTTGGCTAATGGAGTAGTGTTTGATCTGGAACAAAAGTTTGTGATTTTCCAGGACTTTGAAGAGCTCTGCTAAATAGCCCCATCTGCGTGGGACATCATACTCCAGCAGATTAAGATGCTGTCCCTAAAAAATAAACATCCATAAATATTATTGACTATTCTTGTAGCAATATATATGATATGTGCTCTGTAATATAATCCACATGGCCCAAGATCGGGGGAAGGTAGACAGTTTTGTGCAAAAATTGGCGTCATAAACAAGTCTACAGTTAACAGCAAATACCGATATATACTTTCTCCCTAAACTTGATTCTTTGTTTCCCAATTTAGGGATGCTCAAGCTCACCATAACTGAATCCTTCTTGCCAAAGACCTTTCAGTTACAGCACCCCCCACCACACCCATGTCAAAGTAACAGAATCCAAATGAAGAGTTACGATGTCATTGCTGTCATGTCACAAAGGCTAGGTACAGACATTCAAAAGCCCAAGGCAGATTCAAACCAACTTATGTGGGTTTCTCTAAGCAGGCTATGTTAGCTTGGGAATGAACAGAACACAAGTTCACCCATCCATGTGAAGGGTACATAGGCTGCCTGCACTGAACAAGGCCAACAGCTTGGGTGTACTCCTGCACACCTCTCAACATGCCAGAGACTGCTGAGGGCAGCTGAATGCAGCTGAGTGGCAAGTCATCCCTGATTGGTTTTCAGGCACATGCCTCACCTCACTGCCTGTTATCTGTCAGGCAGCTGTCAGCTGCAGGCAGCCAGCAAAGGGAGGTGTGCTCATTCCTGCTTAAAGCAGCATGGACATCTTTGGGCTTTGTCCAGGGTTGGGGCAGAGGAGTCTGCCCACCGGCAGGACAGAGACAGGGGGAAGTGAGACTTGCAAGCTTTTGGGGGAGATGGTGCCAGCAGCACACCCCACATTCCTGGCCAGGTCAGGGGAGCACAGGTTGTCCCTCCATGTCCCAAATTCTGGGACAGTGTGCTAGAGCAGCTCCAGGAAGGGTTCAGAGGATATCCCCAACCCAAGTTCCCAGCTGAAGTCCTTTCCCCAGCAGCTACAAAGGCATGCCTCCTCCCTGCCTCCCCCCAAACCTGCTGCCACTGCCTGTTGCAAGCTAGAGCTCTGAGGGACCCAGTTTTTCCTTCTGTAGAGTGCACCAGACCCCCCCAGACCCCCGTCCCCCAGCCTATGGACGCTGTATAAAGATAAAAAATACAGAGCTACAGATGCACACTCCCCCACCACATTCTGCCTGCAGCTGACAGCTTGGAGCAGCCGAGCAGGAGCCAAGTTCCAGTGCGCTTCCATGCAAGTGGGGAATGGGAGGCTAGAAAGGTGCCTGGGATGCTGGCAGATTGTGACCTAACTTGAGTTGAGAGGGGATCTGGTACAGAAGTTTGATAGAGTGGTATAGCCTAAATGAATTAGGTCTGATACCAAATCCACCCAGGTCTTTCTTAGACTGGGTTCTACCATTTTTAAACCAGTCTATGTGCACCAAACTTCTGTTCTGTTACAGGTTTAGACCAGTTTCTGATCGCTTAACGAAGTTTGTGTATAATGTCTGTACTTGGCCAATGTCATTGCCTCACCCAAAGCCCAGTGAAGTCACAGGAAAGAATGTCACTGATTTCACTGGATCAAGCATCAGGTTCATGCATACGTATTAGAAACTTGAACAAAAGCACAAAGGAGATTGAGGATCACAAACCAGTCACACTGCTGAGGCTGCCAAAACAGCCATGAAACTGAAGGTTGCGATTTAATAATGTCATACAAATCAATTAAAACAAATAGAATTAAACAAATCATTTCTCAAGAAAAATTGAGAAGCTGTCTAATTTATGAAAACTAACATTTTATGAGGCATTACTTGATTCTGCCACCAAGACAACTGGTCTGAACTACTATTCCAGTTAATGCAGTACAGCATTTGTGACTTACCTTAAATTGTGTTCCTGGAAAATGTAACTGCAGACAGTCCAAGATAGCACTCTGGTAACTTGTTTCTTTGTTAAGCCAAACTTTGACCGAATATCCATCTCCAAACCTGAGAGTTGGGCAGAAACCCATATTTAAATACCATAAATTGGGACGATTCAGAGTTAAATTTATTTTTTTTATGTCAAGCAACAGCATGGATACTTATTATGATTTTAATGTTATATTTACATAAAATACATATTAATTTGAACAAGGAAGAGGGTTTTTTTTCCTGGTTCTATAAATTGTCAGTGAAGTACAATCTCTGCTGTACTTAAAGGAGAATTTATCTGCATGGCTGTATTGCTTTGAGCTGCTGAAACTCTAAAGATGATGGTCTCACCATTGTTAGTGGCACCAAATACAGAAAGGAATCCTATTAAAGCTCATTTTCTCGGGTAGGTGTGATAAAATATACTGTTATAACATAGAATTTTATATCACATTTGCTGAGACCTCCTCATAGAACAGCACAAAAGTTTAACAAACATGAGTATTATCTGTATTTCACAGAGGTAGGGAGCAAGGCACCTGAGTTATTAAGCTATTTGTCAAACGTCACACTAAGTAAGAGTAATTAGGAATATCCTAAATCTCCTGCTTTAGCTAACACTGCCAAGCTCTTAGACTAACATAGACCAACCTAAAGATTTTTTTTTAATTTGAACTCTTCCGATAATTATGGAGATTATCAAGCACTAAAGTACTGATTATCAAGTATAGCCAAGTACTGAAAATCTTAACTAAAGCATGACTTTTCTATTAACTATTTTCTTTCTGAGTATATCATGCAGTGTTAAATTTATTCCCCAAATGCTATAATGGCACTTACCTTATCTTGCATGTTATGGTAAGTTACTTTTGTGATACCATACACTTCCAGGTTTATGGACAAGTGCTTTTCTTGGCCTGCTCTAGAATAATGTGCACAATCTAGATTTAAACCTCTCAAACTTTTCCTAGGACTTGGTAATAAAGTAACATGCACCAGGCAGTGTGTTACATAAACAGAAATCTTTTTTCTTCCCCACTTCAGCATATCTGTTCACATAGAGATCCTAATTCAGCAAGGTTCCTCCTACACCCAAGATATTCTTTCACAAGCAAATCAATCTTCCCCCTGCCTTATGTAAATAGCTTGCTCAAGTGAAACTGCCTGAACACACTGTCGTGTTTAGTCTCTTATATCAATTATATCAAGGTGGGATGTGTCAGCCAAATGGTGCTGAAACAGTAAGAGTAGACTTTGTTATTTGTTCTGGACCTCAGAACATCAGAACTCTCCCTTTGCACATTACATGTGTTTAAGTTTCTAAGGGATCTGACAGATCTTGCTGCTTTAACTAGCAAACAAAAATAAAATGTCCAGACTCTGTCAGTATCACCCATTACTGCACAGTACTGGTGTAATTTGACCTTCTCAGGCAGTATCCCATATGACAGATAAATAATTGCAAGGCTTCTTCAGTCAAATGCCTATTTTTGCTGTGGCCTAGAGATGGTAATGTTTCCTATCTTCAAACGGTCACCCGAAGGCATAATTCTATTTCACCTACAAAACAACCAAAGTACTGTTTGCAGCCAAACTTTGAGTTACCCAGATGAAGGGCAGGAATGCTTCTACTATGCCCTGAGGCAGCATAAACATTCTCATTATAGGAATAGGGAAATGCCTGCAAGGTGATCCCCTATAACAAGAGACATTTATGCACCCAGCAACAGTAAGAGAATTGCTTCTATACAGCAGTTAGGTAACATGGAGTTTGTTGCGAGCTGTACTTTGGTTCTCCATTAAGTGGAACAGAATTCTGTTCTGAGCTTATGGTCCATAACTCATGGACATAATTAGAGTAAATCATTCATATGATAAAAGCACTGGGAAACAGAGTGGTGTAACAATGTATTATCTCTCTCTCTCTCTTTCCCAGCAAATAGTGTGAGAAATGGGGCTACTAGAGCACAAGTCTTCCATGACCCAGGAGTTGGGGATCCAGTTCCTAGCTGAAGCAACACACTTCACACCTTGAAAATCCCCCAGATTCCCCATCCATACTGTTCTGATTCAACAATAGCTTCAAGATTTAAGATATTCTGGGCCAGATTCTCAGCTGGTTTAAACTGTGAGGGACCCAGTGATTTAAATATCAGTAGCTGAGGATCCAGCCCATTACTTCCAAAATTTATTTTAGATCCTCAGAAAGAATTAAAGAAAAGCTAAGTATTGTTTTCATGTGTTTTATCAGACTGAGGAAGAGTATTGTTTGAATTTTTGGTTTAAAAAATATACAATTCAAAGCTGAGTTTCTGCACCTTAAAATATGAGTGTGCTAGTTTTTATTTAAATAGATAAACAGTACCCAAAAGTATGTTAAAAATAAATTATAGGTGGTTGTGTTTTCTTTCTTTCTTTTTCATTGTGTTTGGAACCACCACTGAACAATGCTAAATGAAGAAGGGAAACCAAAATATGCTGTCAATTACTTTTTACCCCACTATTTTTAATTTACAAAATACTACAAATTATGTGCTGCTGATTTCCAAATAGCCTTTGAGCAATGCAAAATGACAGATGAGCAGTGTTGTCAAAGGAAAGTGATCCAGCAAATGTAGAATCCAGAGCAGTGTCTGGCTGGTTTGCCTTGTATCAACTTACTAACAGATCTCAGACCCCTAATTAAATCTTTTAAATGCATGACATCATCCCTGCAGAAATACATGTGCCAATAAAGAAGATATTATAAAGACAGATAGACTTAACATGGATGTTCAGTTTAGATGAAAACCAATGTCCAACAACATTTTACAAGAGATCATATTGATGCTGATCAGTTTTCTGGTATCTGTATCCAGCCCCCGTTTGAAAAATGCTGGCCGGCTTATGGAGATGTCCAGCCATTTTGTAAAATTAAAACATAGCATGCCATGAAGATTTAAAAGAAAATAAATCAAAATTCTGATTAACAAAGACAGAGAAGTCTGTTGGCTTTGGATGGCATAACCAGCAACCTGGATCCAAATAATAAAAGGGAAATGTTTGGGGTAATCTTCTATCCCTTAAAGTCATTAATTGTCTTATTACAGAAGCTTTCCACCAGGATAAGCTGATCAACCATAAACATTTACTGCTGCAGTAAATCAGCCAGCCAGCTGCTTTCTGTAACCAACCGAGGCTATGGAAATAGAGCTGACCATTTTTAGCACTCTTTTCCTCTCCAATTTATCTGATATGATTAATTCAGAAACCCAAAGCGGAATTACACAGAAAACCACATTCTGGTTTGATTACCACTAGTAGGATCAAATCCTTCATGTTTGATAGCTCAAGACCCAATGAGAAAAACATCTTCATTAAAACAGCTTAAGTTGAGTCAATACACCTGTTCACTATCCATCTGTTGTGAAAGAATCACCAACTCTCTGGAGCCATTCAAAAAAGATGCTTTCACTGCTATATGAGCACCACCATGTCACTTTAATGGTGCCTGCAATTTTTTTTAATTTATCTTTTTTTCCTGCAAGGCTAATCATTCAGTTTAGTCACTGACCAAAGCCCATGGGACTGTTTATGGAGTAGAGTTACTTATCAGTCATCAGGTGCTTACTTAATAGGAAAAAAATGGTGTCACAGCAACAAGTTTATGACCTAGCTCAAGTGATAACAGTGCAGCTGGTACTACAAAACCCACTTGTATGGAGCTCTCTGCTGCTGGATCTATACTGCTATCAATACCTGAGCTAGCTTGATGAAAGCTAGCCTGGGAACCTGCAAACAGGCTGCAATCACCTATACTGCAATACAGATATACCCTAAATGACGGGATATGATTCTGTCCTGCTCTACACTGTTGTGCCATTCAAGCAGTTGAAAGACAATGGAGACAGAATGCGCTCCCCTAGCTGGGAGACCCGGGTGGATGCAGAGCCAGTAAAGCCAACTGTCCTCCACTGCAGAACTTCTGATACAACTGCTCGGGAGGGGAATGGGAGAGAGGGAGCATGGGAAGGCAGTGTGCTCTGGCTACCCTTCACTGGGCAGATGATTGCTTGATCACCACTGACAGCCAGCAAAAAATTAGAGGGGTCTCTGGGGCCTATAAATCACTGGAGGGAAAGGCAGAGTATCTCAAAGCAGCCAGCTCCCTGAGTCTCTAGCTATCTGCCTCCTCCCAGCCCCACTTTGCCTTCCCCCCCCCCC